TTTTTTTTTTTTTTTTTTTTTTTTTTGACAGGGTCTCCCTCTGTAAACCAGGCTTGCCTCAAACTTAAAAGAAATTTTCCTGTCTTGGTGTCCCAAGTAAGTGTTGGGATAACAAGCATAAGCTATCAATACTGCTTTTTAGAAATTGATTAGAGTGTGAGTGCACGCAAGTATAGGTGGACACATTCCACACATATGAGGTCAAAGGACAAACTTTGGGGACTGGTTCTCTCCTTCCTGCCATTATAAACTACATCTAGAGCTTTTTATATGAGTGCAGATATCACACTCAGGCTGTCAGGCTTGTACAGCACTGCTTTTATCTGCTGAGCAATCTCCATGACTCTTGTCTTGCTTTCTAAGCAAAGACCTTGGTATGTAGTCCAGGCTGGCCTGAATTTGTGGTCTCAAGTGACCTTTCTATTTCAACCTCCTGAGTTGAGTAGACTTACACCACACTCCCAGACTCAATTAAGTATTTTTTTCAAGACATGGTTTCTCTGTGTAGCTCCGGCTGTCCTGAAACTCACTTTGTAAACCAGGCTGGTCTGCCTCTGCCTCCCAAGCGCTGGGATTAAAGGCATGTACCACCACTGCTCATCTTTAACTGAATTTCTCAATCTGCTATTTTAAAAACTTTTATGGGGGCTGGAGAGGTAGCTTAGCAGTTAAGAGCACTAGCTGCTCTTCCAAAGGGCCTGGGTCCAATTCCCAGCAGACACATGACAGTTCACAACTGTCTGTAATCCAGTTCAAGGAAATCTAGTGTCCTCACACAGACATACATGCAGGCAAAACCCCAATATACATTAAAAAAAAAATCTTAAAAAAGAAAAATCAAAAAACTCTACATGGCTGGTTCTGTGCACACCTTTAATCCAAGTTCATGGGAATCAGAGCCTGTTCTGCATAGTGAGTTCCAGGCTTGCCAGGACTACACAGTCAAAAACAAACAAACAAAAAACAACTATTCTTTATACTTGCTTTTCCAAACAGGGTTTCTTTGTGAAAAGCTCTGGCTGTCCTGGACTCACTTTGTAGAGGAGGCTGGTCTCAATGTCATAGAGATCCACCTGCCTCTGCCTCTGGGATGCTGGAATGCAATGTATGCGCCACCAGACCAAACATCAGTTCTTAATTTCTTTCCAAGCCAGCCCAAGTCATCTGATAACTACCTGTATCTCTCTTGTGTTTCCTTGATCACCTTCTTCAGTTCTTCAACTCTCTCAGCAGTCAGTTTCCGAACAATAACATCTTCAACAGTTTCTACCACTTCTCCTTTCTCACCACGTTTCCGTCTGTGGAAAATCAAACAATAATAAATCCAAATTGAAGTTAAAAGGCTAAGTGTTTCTTTCTACTTGTAGTCTTTCAGCCTTTTCCACCGTTTAATCCTAAGTAACACCCGGTATACCGTTCTCACCCAATTAAGACCGATGTCCATGGTGAACACTTCCCAACTAAACAGATGTGTACCTGGGTCTATACTCACTTTGGAGTCTCAGTAGTCTCTAAGAGCTCTGAGTATTGAGAAGCACAATGCTATGGAAAAAAATGAAAATGTGATAAGCAAGCTTGGAAAGAAACAAGATTTGCAAGTTTCAACAATTAGAATAAGACTAAGTGAATACACCTTTTCAAGACTGTGTTGTTTAGCTGGTCACGGTAGGAGGCAGAGGCAGGGGATCTGAGTTCAAGGTTAGCCTGGTCTACACAGTGAGTTCTAGGACTGCCAGGGATACATAGTAAGACACACACTACTACTATTATTACTAAATAAAAATTAGAAAAAAGTTTGCAATACTTTTTTGCATACATACATAACCAGATTAGCAAATAGTGGGGGGAAAGGAAAACGGTATTTTCTTTTGTTTTTAATTTTTAAATATTTTAAATGTGTTTTGTTTTTTGAGACAAGGTTTCTTTGTGTATCCTTGTCTGTTCTGGAAATCACTCTGTAGACCAGGCTGGCCTCAGACTCACAGAGATCCTCCCCACCTATCAAGTGGTGGGGTTAAAGGCATGTGCCACCAAGACCCAGCTAAGTTATTTATTTTTATTAAATTTAAAATACCTCATCTTAAAAATAGTTTTACTTAAAATTTATTTCGTTTTTGTATCTCTGTATGTATGTTCATATGAGCCCTCAGAGGCCAAAGAAGGTACTGGATGCCCAGAGCCGGGAGTTACAGGTATTGACAAGCCACCAGATGCGTGTGAACCAAACCCAAGTCCTCTACAACGTTAGGTGCTCTGAACCACTGAACCTTCTTTCTAATCCCTTTTCCTTTTTTTTTAAATTGTGTGGAATGTCTGTGTTCACAAGCTCATATGTATGTGTGGGTGTAGGTACATTCATGTGGATACTCAAGATTAACTCTGGAGGTCTCCCTCAACCAGTCTTTACCTCATTCTTTGAAGCAGGGACCAATTAGACCTTGTTTCAACTAGTCTAGAGAGCCAGCTTGCACCAAGGATTACTTACTGCCTTTCCATTCCAAACACTGTAGTAACTGGTGGGCTGCCATACCTTCTTGGCATGCTTGGCATGTAAGCGGGTTTAAGGATCCCAACTCCCATCTCTGGGCTTATACAGCCAATACTTCAACCACTGAGCCACCTCCACAGTCATAATTTCTTTCGGTTTTCTTGAGGCAGGGCTTTGCTACGAAGCCCTGGCTGACTTGAAATTCACCATGTAAACCAGGCTAGTCTCACACATGTTGATATCCTCCTGCCTATCTCCTAATCGCTAGAATTGCAGGTATGTACCACTACACTCAGCCTCTAGCACTGTTAAGTTATTCCCTACTTCATGGTACAGAAAACCTTGTAAACAACAAGGCAGAGCCTGGTAAAGAACCAATTTCATATTCCAATGAGTGTAGAAGAGCATCTGATTAGGAACTTACTTTTTGAGAAAACCAGTCTGGAGGTCGGCCAGGTTCTGCAAAAGGCTTGATTGCTCTGCTAACTGATACCCTAGCAAATGAGAAAAGCCTTATTATACATCAAACAGGAAAAATACGAGGGCAGAGATGGGCTGAGTTCAAAGCTTAGAGTTGATCATTACTTTATCTATTGACTTGTCAGTGCTGAGAATAAAAACAGGTTCACTCACGCACATTAGGTGAGTGCTCCACCAGTTAGAGCTCTAGTTCTGGAATACCTGACAACAGAAAATGACACAACTATATAAAAAGCAATTCAAGGCCTGGTGAAATAGCCCAGTGGGTAAAGGCACTTTCTGCCGAGCCTGATGATATGAACTCAATCACCAAAATCTATGGGGTTTTAGAAGAAATATCAACGCCTACAATTTGTTCTTAGACCTCCCCACCACACACAGTGGTATTCACACACCTATATACACATACATGCACAATGAATTAAAATGCAATAAATCAAGTCTTTACATGCTAGAAAAAAATTCTCCAAATGTATCCAGAGTCTCACATATGTAGACAAATACCAAAACTGTATCCCCAGCCTGGATTAATTCTTTTTTTTTTTTTTTTTTTTTTTTAAGATTTTATGTATGAGTGCTCTATCAACTTTAGGCCAGAAGAGGGCATCAAATCCCACTCTAGATGGTTGTGAGCCAGCATGTGGGTGCTGAGAATTAAACTCAGGACCTCTGGAAGAATAGCCAGTGCTTTTAACTTCTGAGCCAACTAATTCTCCAGCCCAACTTGATTCTTAAAATTATTTTTTTGGCCACTCTCCCTTGAGAAACCAGTACCCATGTTGGTATGTTTTACTTTTATGACTCCTTGAGAAGCCTACACCCCTGTTCTCACCTTCCTTTCTTTCTGAGGCACTCTCTCTCTCTTAACCCTTTATTATGAAACTGTATTTAAAACCTTTATTAACACTTAACTGTTTCTAAGAAACCGCTCTTAAAAGCCTACAACTTTTTGTTTGTTTTTTGTTTTTGTTTTTTTGGAGATAGAGTTTCTTAGTGAAACAGCCCCTGCTGTCCTGGACTCATTTTATAGACCAGATTGGCCTTGAACTCAAAAGACCCACTTGCCTCAGTATTCTGACTACTGGAACTAAAAGTATGCACCAGTCGTTTAAATTTTATGAAGTATTTTTCACTATGTACAATATATACATATTCGAATTAAAAACTTTTGGCTGGGCTGGGTGGCACACACCTTTAATCCCATCACTAGGGTGGCAGAGGCAAGCAGATTTCTGTGAGCTCAAGGCCAGCACGGTCAATATAGTGAGTTCCCAACAGTCAGGCTTATATAAAGTGGCCCTACCCTGAAAATATTATTAAAACATTTTTGTGTTGTAAACAATACCAATCAAAGACAGTTGAAGAGATGGCCCAGCAGTTCAGGTCATTGGCTGTTCCTCCAGAGCACCTTAGTTCAACTCCTATCACCTATGTGGTGGGTTCAAAACCATTTGTTACTCCAGTTCTGGGAATTTCACAACCTCTTCCAGCATACATGTTACAAGCAGGCAAAACTCATACGCATGAAAAATAAATGATTAAAAATTGTTTCTTGGGGCTGAAGAGATGGCTCAGTGGTTAAGAGCATTGCCTGCTCTTCCAAAGGTCCCGAGTTCAATTCCCGGCAACCACATGGTGGCTCACAACCATCTGTAATGGGGTCTGGTACCCTCTTCTGGCCTGCAGACATACACACAGACAGAATATTGTATAAATAAATAAATATTTTAAAAAAATTGTTTCTTAAAAAAAACCAGTGCAGCTGGGTGGAAAAAACAAAAAGTATAGCCAGGTGGTGATGGTGGTCCATGCCTTTGATCCCAGCATTCAGAAGGCATAGGCAGGTCTGGTCTACAGAACCAATTCCAGGACAGTTAGGATTGTTACACAGAGAAACCCTGTCTCAAAAAACCAAAAGTGCTATGAGCTGGCTCAGCTAATAGACATGGATCACCAAACCTGATGATTTTAGTTTGATCCCCAGAATCCATAAGGTGGAAAGAGAAACAAGTCCACAAATTCTGCAAGTTGTCTTCTGACCTCCACACTTGTATGTACACTCACACATGTAAGCACACAAAAATATTAAAAAATCTGTAATGACATATGACTTTATACTTACTAGTATGGCTATAAAAAAAGACAGGAAATATTGTGAAGCAGACAAAAAACTGAAGGGGATAAGTTCAGTTGGTAGAGTGCTGGACTAGCCTGCATGAAATCTTGGTTTGATCTGTACTTCAAAAACTGGGCCTGGGGGGCTGGAGAGATGGCTCAGTGGTAAAGAGAATTGACTGCTGTTCCAGAAGACCCTGGTTCAATTCCCAGCACCCACATGACAGTTCACAACTGTCTGTAGCTCCAGTTCCAAGGGACCCAACACTGACGTCAAAACAACGAACATATAATAAAAATAAATCAATTAAAAAAAACTGGGCCTCATAGTACATGCCTGTAATCATAATATTCAGGGGGGCTGAGGCAGGATCAGGAGTTCAAAGTCATCCCAGGCTACATAGGGAGGAGTTTGAAGCTAGTGTAGCTTAAAAAATAAAATAATGTTAAGCCAGTAGAATATGCTGGAGAAGCAACAGACAGCCTGGGCCATACTTTTTTCTGGATATGGCAGCACACACCTTTAATCCTAGTACTCAGAAGATAGAGATAAGAGAATCTCTGAGTTTGAGGCCAGATGATCTATAGATCAGAGTGGGACTCTGTCTTTTTTTTTTTTTTTTAATATTTATTTATTTACTATGTATACAATATTCTGTCTATGTGTATGCGTGCAGACCAGAAGAGGGCACCAGACCTCAAGCAGGCAATGCTCTTAACCACTGAGCCATCTCTCCAGCCCCGGGACTCTGTCTTTAAAAATTAAAATCAGGGGCTGGAGAGATGGCTCAGAGGTTAAGAGCACTAGCTGCTCTTCCAGAGGTCCTGAGTTCAATTCCCAGCAACCACATGGTGGCTCACAACCATCTATAATGAGATCTGGTGTCTCTTCTGGTATATATATGTTAAAAGAACATTATATGCATAATAAACAAATCTTTAAAAAAATAAAAAAAAATAAAAACCAGGTGGTGGCGGTGCACGCCTTTAATCCCAGCACTCAGGAGGCAGAGGCAGGTGGATCTCTGTGGAGTTTGAGGCCAGCCTGGTTTACAAATTGAGTTCCAGGCCAGGCTCCAAAGCGACACAGAGAAATCCAAAAACCAAATCAAACCAAACTAAGTTTGATGGCTGAAGGTGTAGTAAGATGGCAGAATCTTTACCTAGCATGCACAAAAGTCCCGTGTCCCATCCCCAGTACCTCTACTCTCCAAAATTTGGGGGGATGACGAGATGGTTCAGAGAACACATACTGCTCTTACATAGAGCCAACATCCTGTTCTAGGAACCCATGTCAGATATCTCACAACTGTCTGGAACTCCAGGGACTCTGAGGTCCTCATTTGGCTCCCAGGGGATCCTGCACTCATGTGCCCATATTTTGGCAGTTCCTCATAAACTGTTAGACCCGGAGTTACCAGGTGGCCCAGAGACTCTTTCACCTGGGTGATCTCAGGAGAACTGAAGACACTGTCCACAAAGACTTATTCACACTTGCCCCAAGGTGAAAGCCCGAATGAACATGCAGTTGACATGAACATGCAGTCAGGTAATGAATACAGGCAGGGGATATGCATTTTTTGGATCTATTCAGCCTAGGTTAGACATTATAGTCACTTCTAAAAACAAACAAACAAGCTGGACAGTGGTGGTGCATGCCTTTAATCCCAGAATTTGGGAGACAAGGAAGGTGGATGTGAATTCAAGGCCAACCTGGTTCACAAAGAGAGTTCCAGAGCAGCCAGGAATAGAGAAGCCCTGTCAAGCATGTATTGAACATGCACAGACTTTATTCCCATAACCAGTGGCTCTCAACCTTCCTAATGCTGTGACCCTTTAATACAGTTCCTCAGGTTGTGGTGACTCCCCAACCCTAAGATTATTTTCATTGCTACTTCATAAATGTAATTTTGCTACTGTTATGAATCATAATGTAAATATTCTTGGAAATAGGTGTGCCAAGGGGTCATGATCCCAAGGTTAAAAAACTGCCCTAACCCATTAGCATGCAATGTCACTGTATTAGAGATAACGTGGAGTATTCAAGAGGGTATGTGTTGGCAACATGCAAATACAAGGCATCTTATGTAAAAGAATTGAGTCATCATCATTTTTATAAGCTCAAGGGTCCTGGAACCAATTCTGCACAGATAAGGAAGGGATGAGTCATACTATCATATGACCAATACTAGAAGTATTAACGTATGTTACATGTGCTTAAACCTTTAAAGTGCTATGTTAACTGACAAAAAAGCTAATCCCAGAAGACTACATAGTATACGCACAGGAAATGTTCAGAATAGGCAAATCTACAGGGAAAGAAAGCAGACTGCTCTGGAAAGGGGAGCAGAGGGAAATGTAAAGAGATTTACAGGGATGGCTGCACAGCTTTGTGAAAACAGGAAAAACCAAAAAGGTTTTCACTTTCAGTGGGTTTATTTAATGTGTATATGATCTGTAGTTTGCTGAAGCTAACTACTACATAAAGCTTTAAAGTGACTAACTTAAAGGAATAAATACCCTGAGGTGAAAAATACTCATTCCTGGTTAATTTGATGACACATAGCAAATTCCTGCACCAGGGAGGCAGAGGCAGGCCAGCCTGGTATGCAGCGTGAGCTCTGAGATAGCCAGGGATACACAGAAAACAAAACACGAAAGAAAAACACTCAGTCGTACAGCCCAATAAATCAGGTATCTTAGATTCCTTACCAGTTCTGATCTCCACTCCTCATAACAGAAGATGCTAAACACAACTTCTCTCGGATGGACCATGGCTCTGTCGGGCCAGTACTCAGCAGCTTGTGCTCTGGGAATAAAGGAGGCTTAGAAACCATCACCCATCACTGCGCTAGTTCTAAGTCCCAGAACAGCTAAAAGCCGATATAAAATAATACCCCAGATGAGTGTGGAGTACTAATCCTGGTTCTCAGGAAGCAGAAGCAAGCAGAACTCTGTGAGTGGGGCTTGCCGGGCCTGCATAGTGAGTTTCAAGCCAGCCAGGGTCAGTCTCAAAACAAATAAATCTCAATCTTATTCGAAAAAAAATGTGAAATACTACCATCAACCATTTATTATCACCAAATTTTGATTTTCACCATCCAATGAAATATCACTACTAGCCAGGATACCTGTACAACTGTACAACGAATACGCATTAAGTTGTTCAAATGCCATTTGCTCAAAACACTGTATTTGTTCAAATGCCATGGCTTTAAGGTCTGCTCTCCAAAAAAAAAAAAAAAAAGGCAGTATTACGTTAAAAAAAAAAGTTCCCCAGTTTGAAATCAACCTTATTTCCCAAGATTCCTAGCGGCCACCGGCTTCTACTGCCCACCTCCTACTTTGCATAAAGTTGTTTACCTCTCAGCCCCTCCCCCCCCAACTGCCAGTGAAACCAAAAAAAAAAAAAAAAGGCTGAAAAACACGAAACGCATTTTCCCCACGGCAAAACACGCCCACAGTTAACAGATCTCATCGCGACTACTTCCCACACCTGACTAGAGAAACAACTGAGCCGCAGGGCACTGGGCCCTGCCTTTATATTTACCCTCGAGCGCGCCAAGCACACAAAGGCTTCCCGGCTGTTTCTCTGCAGCCTCGGGTTCATCCCTCCGCCAGGCGGCGGCCATAAGCGCGCCACGGAAGGCAAATCTCTGAAGACCTTGCGCTCCCGACAACCCACTCCTCCCACTCCCTTCGTGCACGACGAAAATGGGCTGCCTTAGCCTCGACTCCACAAAGGCCTTGAACGCAAAAGCTCCGATACTCACTGCCTGTTCCGGTCGCCATTTTGGCTTCGACGTCTTCAACGCTTGCGAAAGATGCAGGGAATTCTGGGAAATACGGTACCAGCGTCTGTTCGCGGTGCCTCCTGGGTAATGTGGGTGGGTCAGTTTCCCTAATAAAATCAGCCTAGGAAATTATTATTATTTTTTTAACGAACAAAGGAAAAGGTATATCAGCTGAAACCTCAAGAAAGAAACGTCTAGATCTAGAGAGAAGTAAAGAGCGAAGCGAGACGAATCCCGTAACGAACATCTACGAATTCCTGACAGTTGTTAACCCGGACCCACATTACTAGAGGTCAACCAGAAGCAGTCTCCCGGTAGTCTCCGCCCCCCTTCGCTTTCTGATTGGCTGGACGAGCTCAGCGCGCATTTTAAAACATTGTACGAGGAACAAAGCTGCGCCTCGTGGGCGGAGTTGTGCTCTCCGCCAGCCAGAGCCTGGGTTCTGCTGCTGGGTGGAAGCTGGGATCGGAGAAGCAGCGAGGTAGACCGTCTTCGGGTAAGTGCGCTTAGGCTGGAGCACGGTTTATCAGCTCTTGCCTGCGTGGCATAGTCCACAGAACGCCCCCGTGTCTTCTCTAATTCCCGAGTTCTCACCGTGATCTTTGGAGTGAGGTTGGAAAAGTACCCTCGGGTTCCTGAAGCGCACCTGCACTGCTAGGCCTGTAGACAGCTTATGGGGAATGCTAGTTATCTCTCGGTGCCAAGTCGCCCTCAGAAATGCAGCTTCGAAGCCGGGCGGTGGTGGCGCACGCCTTTAATCCCAGCACTCGGGAGGCAGAGGAAGGCGGATCCCTGTGAGTTCGAGACCAGCCTGGTCTACAAGAGCTAGTTCCAGGACAGGCTCCAAAAACCACAGAGAAACCCTGTCTCAAAAAACCAAAAAAAAAAAAAAAAAAAAGAAAGAAAGAAAGAAAAAGAAATGCAGCCTCGGGCTGGATTATTCTCATTCTTTCCCCTTAGTTGATAATGGTATTTAGTCGCGACGAAATGTCCTGGGCAAGGTTATTCCACTCATCGGGGAATTGTTTCTAACCCATAAGTTTGCACTTTCTCTGCATGAATGCTCTTCGACCCATTTACTCTTGTCTCTTGTCTTTTAGACGTTGGCTGACTCTCGCTATGTCTCACGGGATCCTTTCTCCGCCAGCGGGCCTACTGTCTGATGAGGATGTTGTAGTCTCCCCCATGTTTGAATCCACAGCTGCGGATCTGATGTCCGTGGTTCGAAAGGACCTGTTGTCAGACTGCTCTGTCATCTCCACCTCTCTGGAGGACAAACAGGTAAAGGAGTTGAGGGGCTTAGGGGCAGAAAATGATACCCTCAGCTTAACAGCTCTTTATACAAGGTAGTATGAGATCAAAGACCAGTAATCCCGAAGAAGTGAAAGATCAATTAAAAATTAAGGGCAAAGCTGGGCCTTGTGGATCTCTGAGGGTAGCCTGGTCTACAGAGTAAGTTAGTGCCAGGACTACACAGAGAAACCCTGTCTCAAAAAGCCAAAACACAAAAGAGGGCAAAGAAGTAGAAAATAGGTAGAAA